CGAGCGGCCAGACTTTTACCTTTTCTCTCTTTTCCCGTCGCTCTCCCCACCATGCTCCGGACGCCGCCGCCCGCGGGGCAGAAGCCGCGGCTCGGCCCGGCGCCCCTCTCCTGAGGCGATGCGGGAGGCGCCGGCGGGACGGAGCTAGCGAGACCCCCGACCGCCATGCGGGAAGAGAGAGAAGCGGCCGCCTCCGTCTCCCGCCGCGGCCCCGGCAAGCCGCCGCCGCACCGCCCGCAGCCGGACGGCGCGGGGCCGCCGCCGCCGCCCCCCCCGGCGCCGCCCGAGAGCCTCCGGAACGGCTACGTGCGGGGCTGCGCGACCCCGCCGCGCCGGGACCTCCCGGAGAGCGTCCCGACCCCACCGCTCTGCCCCGGCGCCGCCGCCGCCTCCTCCTCCCGCCGGGCGCTGCTCAGCCTGGGTGCCCTGGCCGCCGTCGCCCTCTCGCTGCTGGCCTTCCCCGGCCGGGGCGGCGCCGGCCCGCAGGACGGCGGCGGCTGGCGGAGCCCCCGGGCGTTGCACGCCTTGCTGAGCCTCTCCCGCTGCCTCAGCCCGCTCTTCAGCATCGCCTGCGCCTTCTTCTTCCTCACCTGCCGCCTGGCCCGCGGGGAGCGCGGCGCGACGCGCTGGTGGCTGCTGGCGCTGCCCGTCTGCTGCTACTCGGGGGACCTGGTGGCGCTGCGGTGGCTGCCGCCCGCGCAGGGGCGCGTCGAGGAGACCCTCGCCCCCGGCGAGCCGCGGTTGGCGGCGGGCAGGCTGCTGGCCGCGCTGGGCTCGGTGGCGGCGCTCACCCTGCTGCGGAGCTCCGCGGGGCTCCGCCGCAGCCTTCTCGTCCTGCTCTTCTCCGGCGCGGTGTGGCTGGTGTCTCTGACCGGCCTTCAGCCGCTGCCCCCGGCCCTCCGGCCGCTGCTGGCGGGCTCGGTGGGGGTGGCGGGCTGCCTGCTGGCTCTCCGCGGCGCCGAGCGCGGCATCTTCCCGGCCCGGGGCCGGGCGGCGCCCCGGCAGCACCAGCCGCAGCCCCGGCTGCCTGGCGTGGAGGACAAAGTGCCTGCGGTCAGACCCCGGCGGAGGTCGAGCTGCGTGTCCCTGGGGGAAGCTTCGGGCAGCTACTACGGCAGCAGCAAGATGTTCAGGAGACCCTCGTTGCCTTGCATCTCCAGAGAGCAGGTAGGTGGCTCCGGGACCGCGGGGAGAAAGTTTGAGGGCGGCGAGCGCGCCGCTCGCTCTCCCGGCTCCTGTAGGTGTGTGTACGGGGTGCCTGCTGTCACGCCGCTCCTTAGCGTCTGTTGACTCCTTAATTCGGTTCCGCAGGATCGGTGCAATCCTTGCGGGCTGCACGGAAGCTAAGTCGCACCGATGCGTGCGACAGAACGGAAGCTTCGCTCACTTTTTATACGGATTAAACGCTAAAATCTAACCCTTCTTGCTATCAACAGCCTTGTTTATTTCCCAAAGCCCACCTCCTCTGCTCCTGGCAAATGTCATGAGACAAAGCCTTGCTGGCTGCTCTCCCCCTGCTTCTTCTCGCTTTCTATCGACAAAAAGACTGCCAAGTGCTAAAGGAGAACTCGGGTTTGGAGGGATATTATTTACCAGTTTGGGACAGTGTTTGAGTGGCAGGGTCCTTCTGCCTCGCAGATTACCGTGTCTGTTTCTCTGGTCTCCAACCATCTCTCCCTCGCTCCAAATAAATTACCATTAGGTTTGAGCTCTTTGAACTCAAGAAACTTCTACTTTTTTTTTTTTTTTTTTTTTTTTTGTAACCTCAGAGAGAGCTGTTTAGTAGAGTCTGGAAAGATGCCTGAAACATTCAGTTTTCTTGAATGGAACTCTGTTGGTTTCTGCCTCCTGGAAAACTTGTCAATGAGTCCTGTTTGTTTTTTTTGTTTGTTTTTTGCTTTTTTGCAGGGCAGCCCCCATGTGGGGCAGTTGATTTATATTTGGTAGGTGGCACATGAGCAAGAGGAGCTGGGTGTAAGCGGCCCAGCTCTGCTGGAGCGGACAGTTGACCCCGTGCTGGGGGAGCGTGGGGGCATTGGGAATGAATGGCAAGTGCCCGGCTTCTGTGAAGGGATTGTTGCCACAAAACCCCCCATCTGTTGCTGCGGTGGCTGAAATTCATAAATGCCAAATGAAATGTTCTAACTTTGCTTTGTCGTGCGTTCCATAATGCGCTGCTTGTGATGTGAAATAGGTCGGAGGAAATACGAGGCAAATCTGAAACAGTGCAGCAGTTTGCGAGCGTTTCTTTCTCTGCATTTACGCAATAGAACAATACAGAAGTAATTGTTCTGTGCGTGAAAGGTTCAAATGCCAGTCTGCTGGAACAGGCGTCAGAAGGTTGAAATTATCAAGTGCAGACAATGGGACAAACGTTAAAATATTGTAACAGCAGTTAAGATACGTGGGGAATATTGTACAATAGTTTACTTTCTCTGCTCCCTTCCCTTCTAGATAGGAAATGCTCTCCGTTTGTATTGTGTTTGTCTACAATATAAGAAACGCAGAAAACGCAGTAACAGCTTTCATTAACTTTTCTAGACGATAAAAGATATTTGTTTTTATTCAACTGAGTAAGTGTTTCCTTTGATATTCAGTTCACTTCCCATAAAATACGTATATATTTCAAGTGAAGACATTTAGTATTCTTTAAGTAACATCATAAACGTCAACCTAACTAAATGCCTGGAATTTATTGGCAGTACTTAAATCATACGTGTTCATAGTAAAATGCAACTGCTTGGTAGACTTCCAGAATTTGATATCTTCATTATCACTAGAAGTGAACAGTAACGACAAAGAGATCTGAAGTTCTTTATTTTCCTCATAAAGTCTATTACACCTTACAGTAAATATTTGTGCTTTATTAGCCATGATTTAAATTGCATTCGGAGATACATGTTCGAGGCAGTGTTTTATGAGGGATTTTTATGAGGACGATGCAGGTGAAATACTCAGCTCTCGTGTTTGACTTGGAGAGATATCAGACATTGCAGAGCTGATAAAGTGTCAGCTGCTGGGGTTGGGGGTCACACGAGGAAGGAAGCCTATGGTCTGTGAGTGTGTTTGACCAAACACTGTGAGGTCTTTATGTTGTTTCCTTGAAACGGAAGGAATATATGCACTTAATGCTCTTCAGAGGAGCATTTATTGTGTGAACTTTCTTGATTCACTGCATGTTTTGTAGATGTTTAGACAATACTGCAAGGCTTCTTTCTCAATATTTTAATAATATTAATATTTTAAGATAGTGAAATAGGACTGCTGGGAAGGTCAGTGGAGTATGAGGAACGTGCTGCTGGATGTTTGCTGTGTCAGGAGTACTTATAATGACGATATTAGTTTAGCTGTCATTCAGTTTGATGCATTTTATATGATTGCTTATGCACATTGCACCCCTATAAGCAAGTGTACATAAGAACAAAAAAAGGCAGATGTAGATTTTAGTTACTTTGCAGGGGAAAAAGGGATTGCTGGTATTGACATTAAGTTTTCAGATACTTGTTGAATTGGAATTATGCCCAACTCTGTCTTAGTACCACGAGAAAAGAAGTGTAGTGTGCTGACTTCTGTTTTCTTTTTGCATAAATAAGCTTAAACCAACAATTCTAAGGGATCTTTCTGCGTGGAGAGTAGAGGGAGAGGGGGCAATTCCAGGTGTGCACAACCAGTAGTGTTCACACAGTGGAGTCAAGTGGAGCTGTCACTGTTTTCTGAGGGTAGAGGTAGGAAGAGGCCCTGTGAGCATGATCCTACAAGTGCTTTCTGATTTGAGGAATGTACTTCTCAAATTCGGGTTTCTGTTTTTTGTTTGTCAACAGATAGCAACAGTCGATAATTATCTTTGTTCTTACCTGTTCCACGAACATCCATGCTTTGCTGTCAGAATCTAACTTGTGCCATATGTGCTTTTTTTCTGCCGTATGTGTGGCTAGAGATGTAGTTTGGTGGGTGCAGGAAAAGAGTCTTGAATAGGCTTTATCCTTGAAACGTCATGCTACTGTACTTAAATGCCATTTTCAAACATACAGATAGCAATATGTGTAGAACAGAAGGAAGTAAATTAAGGCTAAAAATCATGCAAGCACAATGTCTTCTGATTTCTACTATATTAACAGGGAAAGTTAATGCAAATTTGTATGATGTTAGCAGTAAACAGGCCTTTTTGTTTCCTTTTTTTCAGTATTCAAATTGGGCCAATTGATGAGTCGTTTAGCAGTGCAATTGCAGTATTGATTGCAATTACAAATGCTGTGCAGGCAATGTTTTGACTAAATGTTTTAATGACGTGCTAATGTTAGCATATTGCTATCAAAGGTGTTGCCTGCATTGGCTGTTGAATACTTACTACGCATTTCTTGATGTTCTTTTTTGTTTGTTGCTGCTTCTTGAAAGCCAGGTCATGTCAACAAAACCGTGACAGATCACTACTGGGACTGGTCAGATCTTATAAATAATCTCTGTCTTGAAAAATACTGTAGTGTAAAACATTCTTTTTACATCCTTGTGAATGTGTATATGAGAGCATGTAACTACATGTAGGACATGTGATTCTAAAATGTCTATTTGTCTTTACTAAGAGAATAGGCCTTTCAAATTATGTGCATGGGACACATGTCCAAAACAACCTGCAAATAGAGCTAGGGTTTTTTTGTTGTTCATTTTCTTTTTAAAATTTCCTACCTATCTGACTAGGTTCAAACAAGAAGTAAAGCTGAGATGGATAAAAACTTCCATGCTGTGCTCTGTCAGCTGAAGGAAGAGTTGTCTCATGTTTAGGCTGGTAGATTGATCACCAATTCTTGCCAATTTCCATTTGTAGCTATCTTATGCCTTTTATCTTGTACCTTCTGAGGATCAAGTCTTATCTTGTACCCTAGGAAGATCACGACTTGATTTAGAGTCTAAAATGTAGATTTAACTTTTTAAATTAACATAGTTTAATTAGGCACATATAAGCTGTCTGTTTCTTGTTTTTAAAACAAATTATATTTTTCCTTAGCTGCTGAGGCGATTGGTTTCCTAGGGCAGAAGATACCTGTTAATAGGTATGTTACATTGCCTTAAAGTTTTCAAGTTCTGATACAGTTTCTAGGTTTGCAGCCTAGAAAGATGAAATGTATCTTCTTCTATGCAACTGAGATGATGAGCTCTTTGCAATGTTCATCTTTTCCTGTAGTGGTGGTTGTGGTGACTCACCACAACTGAACCTGCAGGCAAAGCTTTGTTTCTGTTGTTCTCCGTATGTCTTGGGTTTTTATTGGTCATCTCTTGGGGTGAGGGGTGGAAATCAAGGTAGAAATAAGTCTGTGTTTAGTTGTGAATGCAATCAACTTCAATAGAATGCAGCTGAGTGTTGGAAATACACAATAACAGTGAGTGTTCCAAGAAATGACAGTCATGGAGAACAATTGTTGCAACTATTACTTTGGATAAGTAAGATTATTTCTGTCTGGTTCTTTCTGGCCTTGACAGAATGTTTTGTGCCAGGCAAAATGAGAAGGCTTCGTAAGAGTTGCGTCCTTTTTTTTTAATTCTTTTTTTTTTCTTCTCCATTCTGAAGTTTCTTAGAGTATCTTCAAGTTTCTAGAAGTATCATACCAGAAAGAAGGGATCGTTTGAGCAGTCTGCCTGTAGAGACCTATAGAGAGATTGAAGCTTAAGATGCTGTCCCTGTGGCAGTGATCACCAGAACAGTAATGTGGTTCAGAGACTAACAAAGAACGCTGGGAGTGCGGATAAGAAGACTGGTGGCTGGTAAGAGCTCTGTTAGCTAACTGTAGGGTAGGCTGGTTTTCATATATCCAGAACTGCATGGCAGTTTGCTTTGGACAGAAGTAGCACACTTAAAGCAGGGAAACGTGTTTGTAACTTGTCAGTGTAGCAAATTAGCTTGACTGTTTCTGCAGGTGTGATTTCCTGAGGACAAGATGTAAAGAGAGAAATGAATGAAAGTGAAGACATCTGCTGAGGAAACACTGGAGAAATCTGGGGAAAGTATTGCAGGTGGTGTGTTACAGGAGTGACTGGAATGCCAGTGGGCAAGAAGTTTGTAAGAACTGAGTTATCAACTGCGTGAAAGGGAACCAACAGAATACATTGATAAAACATTGGTTTTCAGCTTTGACAAGTAAGCTATTTTAAAATTATGCAAGAAAATGGTAGAGATGTAGAATAATAAGTTCTCAGAAGTATCTCTAGAGTGGCAAAAAAAAAAAAAAGGATGGTTTCCATGCTGTAGGTCATAAACAACATGTTCTGTGAGGTTAAATATGAAAGGAGTGAGTATGACAAGGTGTCAGGTATATTTAACAGAGGAAAAGACAACTCATGTTGAGTTGCACACTCCTATTTGTGCATGTATGTGTCTGGCAGTACCATCCTAATGAAGGAATGTGACCAAACTGATTGAATGCTAAGGCCTTCGAAGCTTCAAAGATATGAAATTCAACTAAGCTTTGTGAAAAAAGGTGAGTGGGAAGACCTGCTGGAATATGCTGTGACATACAGCAAGTCCATAGTGTGAGCTGGTGCTCCATACTAGAATCTCACCTGTTTTTCTAGAAAAAAACTGTGGGGAGAGAACTGAAATGACTTGTTAAGGTGAGAGTTGGCGGAAAACAATTCTTAGCAAGATGAAAAGACACAACAGAATATATTATATTGGGGAGTAAGAATAATGGGACTTTTTGGCAACTCAGTAGGAGTGAAAGTCTGGAGGGTAATTGAAGTCTTGGGCTGGATAAGGAAGACTTTTCAATAATTGAGTGAATGATAGTGAACAATTAAATGCATTGATCACTTTGAGGACGCATTGGAAGTTAAGGAATACTTGAGTCTTCCAAACAGACAGGAATCAAGAATAGCAATAGATTAGAAGTGATAGGATATTGTGATCCATCAACTTATTTGACAAGGGAAAGCATGATGAAAACATATTGGAGAGATCCTTCCTTCAGCAGGAGTGAGTTATGTGAGTGGTGTTTGGGCAAGGGAGAGAAAAAAGTGTCCTAAGAACTGGGTGCTCCATAAAAAGAATCACTGCTGATACAGAATTGTAGCTTACTGATCAGGCTAATATTTGAAAAACAATCAGTTGTTTTGCGAAAGCATATCCATAAGTTGATCCAAAAGTAATGCCTCCTGCTTCTTTCTATGGAAACTACAACAGCTAAGAAGATCACAACAACGCTGTATGATAGAGCAGATTCTCTACAAAACATCAGTTTTTTAACGTAGTCATCACCATTAGCTACGCTTTTTCACCAGTGATAAACAAGAGCCTGCATACCGTGCTCATGAAAATCTGTACCAGTGGAAGTGACCCACTGCCATCACTGCTGAAACGCATCACTCACCACCTCACTGTGCTCACATCCATTGTTTGGTCTCCATAAACATTCAGCAAATCTCAGTGGGTGCAGATTGTTTCTGCATGAAGGAATTTACTGGTAAACCGTTGCTTCATCTGTGCTTCCATGTCAGATGCCATTTTGTCATACTGTCCCTCTGCTGCCATCTGTCACGCAGTGACAACATGTAACAGAATGTAGGTGGGAAGGTTCAGCCTCTACTGCCCTACCACCACCATCTGCCTCTGACAGCCTATAATAAAATAGGAGGCATTACTTTCAGAGAAACCCTCATAATTCAAATAGAGGCAGCTGCTGTCTAGAAGTTAGCGTTGATATGTCTGGTTTTCTTTTCATTAACTATCCCTACTTTTCGTAGCTTTTGTGTCTAGCCTCCTCCTTTGAAATGAGCAAATTCACAGGTGGAGGAACAGAAGAAAACACAGCCAGAGAAATGGTTTTTGTACATGCCTTCATTTATTTGGTAGTTTGGCATCTATGAAATGCAGTGCTGCTATGTAGAACATTTTTTGTGTGCCAGTGCTAATCTCATTTTATACAAAAAGAGTGGAAATAGCTGACAGACTTCCAATTAAATGGCCTTGAATGTTAATCTCGTCAGGTTTAGTTACCCAGTTCTGATCTGCCAGCCTTAACATTCCTGTCTTCAAATCTAAATACTTTAGTTATTTAATTAATTTAGTTAAGTTAATTAAGTTAATTTAGTTAAAGGGATATTTGCAGCAAACGTTTGTTGTTCACTTGATAAACAAAAGGTTGTTTCATTGATTGTTAAAATATTCTTTTCCTTACGTACTTTCCTTTAAGATATTCTAGATACCATAGAAAATATACCATGTGAAGCTGCTTTGAATTTGTTTTTGAGAAATTGTCCCTCTTTTATGAAGAAGCAGCATGAATTAGCGAAGTAGCTATAACCATGTTGGTAATGCTAGCTGGAAAAATATGCAGGTGGTTTAATTTGGGATGAGCACTTTCAGCGTGCCCAGACCACGCAGCACTGCTCCCACCCCAGCAGAGTTGTGCTGCGATCCTGTGGCACACCTGCCTGTGTGACACATCTATTGTCATTGCAGCTTCGTCTGCAGAAGTGTGTAGTATCAGGTTGTTGGAAGTGAATGAGATGTCACTTTGTGGAGAGGGTTTTTATCAGTTTGACTGAAATAACAGCTTAACAGTGAAACCTCGCATGGGCATCATGGCATTAGAGCATCTCTTTTAACCTTCATTGTTGGTCGTATTTTGTTTTCTTTTTGATTAAACTCTTTTAAAACGATGGCAGGCAAAATTAAGGCCTTGAAAAGGCATTTTACACTAGATTCACTGTCTGTATCTTTAGCATGATTTTTCTTCTAGTGTGGCCTAAAATTAAAGGCTTATATATGTGTTTGGGAATTCTGGGGCTTTTTATTTTTCTTAGTTTAATATTATAAAGTAAATTACAAATTATGTTCATTCTTATAAAAACCTTTTTCTAAGTCCCCGTGGGTGAAACTTGTTTAACCACATCAGCAGTACGGCTATTTTTGGTCTGATGGATTCCTTTAAAGGAATTCTAATTTTCTGAGTACTCTAGCACTGAGTGCTCTGATTTCTGACCAGTAGGACTTCTGGCTCTTTGGAAGAGCTTATATCTTTTCTTGTGAACTGCTACTATGGATAAGGTTTTTTAATGTTTGGTGATAAACACTGACCTCACTTCAAACAGGAAATAATCTGTGTGGTGCCACGGAGCCTTACAGTGGACATGCCTTACAGAAGTGGGCAGCCGTTTAGCTGGGTTTGCAGCTTGGAGGGGATATGAACTTCTTGTGAGCTTTCTCTGGGGCAGGTACTAATCTCTGTATTTATAGGACGTCATTAGTATTTAATAAAACTCAATGCCACACGTCTAGACTATAACTGCTAACTATATAAGAAAAAAATATATTTGAGAAATCTTAAATAACTCTTTTGAGTATTGACCACAGTAGCCTCTATTTCATTTGATTTGCCATCTAAACGATGCGGTCTACTCACAGTATTTTTGATATTTATTCTTGTAGTTCTGTAACCCTACGTATTACCAGTCCAAAAGAATTACTCCCATTGCATAGTCTGAGCTTCAATTTCAGTTCATTTAGGCTGCTTTTTCTTAGATACAAGCAGTTCAAGTCCCATGTGTGAGAGCAGGAAATTTGTGTTAGAACCTGAAGGTGTGATTAGCACACTGAAAAAAGTTAAAGTCCTGCTGTGCCTGTGAAATACTGTCTGCTCTGCATTGCCCTGCATGAATTGGCTTGGACTGAAGGAATTGAAGGCACACCAGCACAGCTTTGCCCTTAATTAGCTGGGACATGTGAGAAGCAGTCTTTACTTTCCAGGAAAAGAAAAGTGTTGATGTGGGTTACACTGCTCCCGTTGAGACTGTCCATACAATAATGCCATGGAACAGAGATGTATCCACTGTGAGTTGTTTGTAGCCTGGGGCAAACACACAAACCTGAAGGATTTGAAGGTCTTTGTTCATTCGGATGTCTCAATGTAGAATAGAGCACTGTATTTCATATCCTAGCTTGTAAACACAAGCAACTTTGTTATCTGCTCCCTACACACTCTCTTTCTGTCCTTTTGTTAGCTAGCTACATAGCATCCATTTGGGAATTACTGAGGTGTGCTCTGAAAGGAAATTTCAAACGAAAAAAAAGAATTGCAATGAGTTCCAATTGATTGAACGCACAGATGTTTGTCTAGGCGTTTTCTAGTTGTTGGGTGTTTTTGTAATAATAAAAGAGCTGAGTTACTTGGAATCTTTCCAGTGATTAAAGGAATGCAGTGTGTATGTCGATATGAAGTTAAAATGAGTGATTACCATCATGTGATAAGAGATAACTTTGTGACGCTATGGCAAAACACAGTTGAAGATATGTTGAAGACAGTGAACTTATTTTATGTAGCTATAGACAAGTATTCATTAGAATCTATCTACGAGTTTCTTTTTTATTCATCATAGAAGAATGTTTCCATGCAATGGTAATACTGAAAATCTAATTTTTCTTCCTATTTGGAGCTTCTGGTTGGACAAATTTGGTTAAGAAAGAAGATTTTGGAACAGCTGTTCTGTTAACAACCAGTATTTCTGTTGGTTTTAATTTCATTTACTATAACTGGCAGCACTTTCGTTAGATGACAAAGAACTTTTTAAAAAGCTTGAAAATAAGGGGTTTGTGTGTAACTTTATGAAACGTGTGTAAGTTTTGAAAATAAGAAGGCAGGCAGTGGCTATTGCTTTTGAGTGTAGCCTAGGTTTTCAGATCCTCTGAGATAAAGACTTTTGTATCAAAGACATCTGAGAATGGTCCGAAGGAGAAAATAGTACTTCTGTCTCTGAAGGATAAAAATTCTTGTGGAGAATAAAAGTCAAAGCTAAGATACTCAGGATTGAAAGCTGTTTTGTTAAAACCAAGTAAAACTCTGTTTACATATTAAATTAATTTATGAATTATGCCTTTTATTAAGATCATTAAGGGTAAAAATTCAAGACAAATCCATTTGGAATTTCATGTGTTATTTAGAAATATGAAATTGGTATCCAGTTTTAATTAGTGCTCAGGAAAGTGTTGCAGCCTTGGAAAAGGTTCAAGCTGTGTTTCATAAAATAAAGTGATGTAATTCAGAACTAGCTACGAGTCAGTAAAACTTCAGTAATTGACCTCTAACACTTCTCCATTGAGTAATAAGGGA